GACGCTGAGGTGGCGGCGGTCATCCCCTCCCTGCCCGACCCCGCCGCCGCCGCGTCCCTCGACCCCCGGCGCTTGCCGGACGAGTCCATATCCGACAAGCCCCTCGAGCGCGCGCTGCTCGCCGCGACGCGCCGCCTGTACGACCACGCGGCCGCGCCCGGCGCGGCGCTGCAGCGGCGGCTGGGGAACCTCTACACAGCCAGCCTCTACAGCGGCCTGGCCGGCTTGCTCGAACACCACCGGCCGCAGCCCTGCGGCGGCGGCAGCAGCGGGGAGCATGGCGGCGGCGGCGGCGCCCTGGCGCTGGTCGGGCGGCGCGTTTTGCTGTTTTCGTTCGGCTCTGGGGTTGAGGCGGCCCTGTTTTCGCTGCGAGTGGCGGGCGGCAGCGGGAGGTTCACGGCCGAGGCGCTGATCGGGAAGGTGGGCGGGTGGTGTTTTGGGGGTTGCGTCGAGTGTGTGTGTGTGTGTGTGTGTGTGCGTGTGTGTGTGCGTGCCAATGTGTGCGTGTGCGTATGTGTGTGTGTATGTGTGTGTGTGTGTGTGTGTGCGCGCGCGCACGGGCGCGCGTGTGGGCGCGCGCGTAGGCGCACGCATGGGGCGTGCGCATGGGCTTGCGCACGGGCGTGTGCTCGAGCCGGCTCGCACACGCCTGTGCGCAAGCGCATGCGCCTGTGCGATCCAAGGTGTAGCGGGACGGTTCAAACGACTTGCACCAGCGGCGGACCCACGCGGCCCCCAACTATCACACACACCAGCGACCCGGACACTGCGCCACCCCAGCTCTCCAACGCTCACTCCTCGCCCGCCACCCAAATCACTTCTCATGACACAGCAAGACATCATGCGCCGCCTGGAGGCCCGCCACCGCCGCGGCGCGGCCGACTTTGCGGCGGCGATGGGCGCGCTGCAGGCGGCGCACGCGGCGGCGCCGTTTTCGCCTCAGGGGGACGTGGGCGATCTGGAGGATGGCGCCGTCTACCTCGAATCGATCGACGCGGACCATCGGAGGCACTACGCGCGCAAGGGGCGCGCCCCTGCGCCCGCCGCGGCCTGACGAAGCTGCGCCACAATCGCGCGGCCGGATGGCGGAGGCGGGCGCAGCGGGCAGGGCAGGGCGCGGCTGGCGTGCCGAGGCGGGTAGGGGGCGACGCACCGCCCTCGAAAGCTCGGCGCGGCTGCCCTGGCCAGGGCAGGCGTTGACTGCCGCTCCAGAGCACCCCCCCCCCTCAGACGGGGGGTGCGGCATGTGCCAAGCAGCACAGCAAAGTCTTTCCGTGGGCATGCGAAGTTCAGGGGAGGCGCGGTGCTGGGCCGCTGCGACGCCCAGCCTGTGTGCTGGGGGTCGGGGGTGCAGCGCCCGCTCAGCCCGGGGCTGCATGCTGACAACGCGCACCGCGGCACTGTGGCCCGCTTAATTCAGGGACTATGGCCCTGTTTGCGGCCTGCTCTCGGCTTTTACGACGGTTTTGCTGGACGGAAAACCCTGGGCTGCGCTTTGTGTTGGGGCATTCCTTGCGGCGAGTCGCTTTACTCATGTACTTTCGCATATGCAGGTGCATCGCCCGGCCGGCTGCCGGGCCATCTGCTTTGTCTGCCCGCTGGGCGCGTTGGATGCGAGCTCGCCGCTCGCATCGGCCTGTCGGCTGGCTGCCGGCGGCAGGGAAGAATGCCAGTGGGGGAGCAGGGACTTGGGAAAGCGAACGAGGTGCGGCGCCTTGTTTGGCCCTCCCCAATGCATGAACTGAACTCCCTCTGCCGCGGCCAAACCTCGGCCCGCGGCCCTCGCGACGCGGCGTCCCCAGAGAAACGGGGACGCCCAATCCGAAAGTGGCGAATTGTAATCCCTTTCCTGTTTGACCCCGGTAGGCCATGGGTTCAGTGCACTGGTTGCTGTAATCAGATGCTGTTTTGCAGCTCTGGCTGCCGCTGCACACCGGGGAATCGTCTTGGCTCCTACTTGGTGTGTGAGCACAAGCTTGACAAGGCCTGTGATGGAAGCGCTTGCGTCCACGCGGCGTTGGCGCACCAAGCGCCACGCGCATGGCGTTGACCACCTGGGTCACGGCGCACACCACCGGGGCAGAACCTGATGACTTGCCAAGCTCTGCCGGCCATTCCAGGAACTATCGTGTACGTCAATTGTTTGTAATTGTCTACATATACATACAGTTGTTTCAAGATTCGCGGGCAGGCCTCGTTTTCGGCGCGAAAGATCGCTCGCTGCAGTACGCCAGCGCACCATACACGATCCAGCGCGGGGAAGTGCCATTTATCAGTCCAAATCTGTCACTGGCGTCCTCCTTGAAACACAGTTAGAACAGAACAATTGCCCCGGCGTCTCAGATCGAGCAGCGCGCGCCTCCATGGCGCGCCCGCCCGAGCCACTGCCTTCCGAAAGCTGCGACCCCAGCGGCTGGCACTACTACAGCAGCTGCCACCCCTCCGCCCCGCTGCCACACGGCGACCCTGACCTGTGCGGCAAGTTCCTTGTGCTGGGCATGCGCGGGCTGCCGGCTGCGCCCGGCCGTCTGGGGCAGTTGGATGAGACGTGGTGCCGCATCGCACACGCCATCGCCTCTGGCCAGGCGCGCATGCAAAGCGGGGCATGCGGAATTGCCGAATCTGCATGTGCGGCAGCTGGTGCGCCACGCAAGGCCAGGGAGGCCGCAGGGTGAGGAGCCCGTCAGCATGCGGCTCATGTACTCTATGCCATCATCAACGGGCAGGTCCCTCCGCCAGCCTCGCCGCCACGCGCAAACATTGCAGCCTGAATCTGCGATTCAATCCACCGCCATGCCCCCTGCTGATTGTGCCCTTCGAACGCTGCTGTCGCATCATCCGATCACCTGTGCCCGCGCGCGCTTGCCTGCCCCCGCACCCAAGGTGCCAGCGTGTAACGCCAAGGCAGTGGCCGGTCCTCTTGGCGACAAGGCCACCGGCGTGATCTGCGTATATACGCCCAACTACACTGGTGAGCGCTCATAATGGTGAGCAGCTTGCTTGCCCAACAAGCAGCTGCTGCACGCAGCCACCTGTGGCGCTGTGCTGCTCCCCCCCCCCCCCCGCGTTCATCACGCCCACTGCCGCTGTGAGCCCGGGTCGGCATTTATTTGCCTTAAACCTCATCCACTTGAGCGTGGAGAGCCGAGCATCGCAGCCGCTGCTGCCGCCGCATGGCATGGGCGGCAGCTTGACGCGGGCGCCCAAGCAACGCCTTTGCCGTCCTCCCATATCCGCCCGCGCCTGCAGACGTGTGGCAGGTCGCCGAGACAGGCGCCGCACTGGCGCGGCTGCTGGAACTCAAGCGGACGTGAGTGCAGGGCGGCCGTGCGCAGAAGGCCTGCCTCTGCGGGGGCCCGCTTGCTGTTGTCTAGGGAATACAGCCGTGTGTATTCCCGGCTGCACGAAATCGCAAGCAGCATCTGTGCAGCCCCGCGGCTCGCGCACGTGCTTGTGTGTCGCCTGCTTTTGGGCCCCACCGCACGCGGGCCGGCTGCGTCCGGAAGCCTCGCCAGCGTCCCATGCACCTGAAATTTTCCTGTTTCTCGCACTGACCCGCAGCGCGAAGCTTCCCTACAAAACAGACCAGCAGACGCGGATGGTGCGTGTGGACAAGACCTGCCTGTGCCCCGGGCCCGTTTGACCCTGGCAATCACGAGACATCAAGCGCGCAGCTAGGGTCCCAGCAGGCTGGGGCGCAGGCACTTGCGCGCTGTGTGGGCCCCCGGACATGCGTGTGGACGGCCAGTTTTTCCTTGAAGGTGCACCTGATGTGAGCACCCTCCCCTACCTGAAAAGGACGGCGGCGACACTTTTGGCGCCTACCCCCCACACGCACACACACACACACACACACACACACACACACATACACACACACACACACACACACACACAAACCCTCAAACCTGTAGGGACAATATGCCAAGCCCGGGCAGAGGGGCAAAGGTGGGCGCGCCGTCCCGCGCGCGCCCTGTCAGCTCGCGCCCCAGCGCCACGTGCGGCCGGACGTCCGCCCTGTGTACAACAATCCCACGTGTCACAAAGGCTGCCTCTTACATGCGCGCCTGACCTATACCTGCCACGATCGATCACCCTCTGACGCCACAGCGTCCTACTACTATTTCAAAGGAGACACTCTGTACTCGTCAGATACGGACAACCCAGGTACGCTTCCTGGCAGCGCCACGGTGCGCTTTTTGCAGCGCTGTGCATGAGCAGCGCACCCCATGGTGGGGCGATTGGCTGCAATCTGGGGCTTGACCTGTTTCTAAAACCCGCCACTGCCGTTCACAGCTCTACCGCGCGCTCGGCAGTGTGGCGCGTGGCGCATCCTCCAGGCGGTAGAGATGAGGAGGCACTGCCACCAGAGCAAAAGCAGCAGCAGCAGCAGCAGCAAAGGAAGCAGCAAAAGCAGCAGACGCAGCAGGTGCAGCAGCAGCGGGAGCAGCAGCAGGAGCGGCAGACGCAGCAGCAGGTGCAGCAGCGGAAACAGCAGCAGCAGCAGCGGCACCGGCAGCAGAATCAGCACGATGTTGCGGGCTGGGCATCGGCGGCGGGTGACGATGCCATTGAAATCCCCGACTCAGACGAAGAAGACGAGCATGCTGCACAGCAGCAGCAGCAGCAGCAGCAGCAGGTGACGCAGCAGCAAAAGCAGCGCGGGATTGCGGAATGGGCAATGGCCGCAGATAGTGATGCCATTGAGATCCCGGACTCGGACGAAGAAGATGCTTATGCGGCACCCCCGCTGCCGCAGCAACAGCAGCAGCAGCAGCAGCAGCAGCAGCAGCAGCAGCAGCAGCAGGAACAACAGCAGCAGCAGGAACAACAGCAGCAGCAGCAGCAGCAGCAGCAGCAGCAGCAGCAGCAGCAGCACTTGGACCGGAAGCAGGTCCAAAGAGAGCAGCTTCTCCAGGCTGCGGCTCGGCGGCTCGCAGCTGCGCAGGGCTGCGGCAGCGGCGGCCGCAGCGGTGGCGACGGCAAGGGGCTGCACCCGGCTAATGCTGCAGCGCCAGGTGTTTCAGGCAAGAATGCCTTCATGGCGGGAAATGCGGGCGGAGACTTGTTGGGGCGAGCAGTGGCTGTGACAGCGTCCGGTGGTGGACAGCTGAAGGCAGAGGTGGTGTCAGCCGCAGAGGGCCGTGGCAAGCGGCAGAGGGAACAGCAGCAGGAGGAGCAGCAACGGCAGCGGCAGCGGCAGCGGCAAAGCGGGACGGCTGCTTCGCAGCAGGGAGGGGCCGCAGCGGGCGCTGCAACGGCGCTGAGTGGGGGAGGCGACAACACTCAGGAGGATTCCGCAGTTCCGACTGCTGCTGTTGGACTTCGGCCCCCCGACGGCCTGGGGTGCGGCCGCGGCAGCGGCTCTGCTGGAGCGCCTCCTCCCGCGCCCGGCGGGCCGCTCCGCAAGGTGTCACTGAGGGAGCGGGCCCAGCGGCAGCTCGGCGCAGCGGCTGTTGCTGCGATTGCGGCGGGTGCGGCGGCGCCGGTGGCGTTGACCGGCACCAAGTGAGGGTCCACATTAAAGTTATTCATCATCTATCATTTCCACCAGCTACCAACCAAGATGCCACAGACAAAGTTACGTCCGACACTGTCAAGCCCGGCCCATGCCAGCGCCGCGCTCGTCGCTTGCATGCGGCCCGCCTTCAGCCATCGATACGTCTCAGCCGTCCTGGAGGTAGTGGCGGTGCTGACATGTCGTCTCGTGCAGGTGTATGCACGTCCACAGTCACAACCTTTGCAACCATCCGGTGTACTGTAGCCTTGAGTCGGTGGGTCGTGGTGGCAAGCTTGCTCCTGCCCCAGCTTCCATCGCGATGGAAGCTGGGGTGTTGCACGTGCTTGACATCAGCCGTACGCAGAACGACGTTATTCGCATCACAGCGTCAAGCTCAGAGTTGATGTGTGGGCAAGTGGCAGAGAGTGCCGCTTCTAGCTCTCAACCCCCCGCCCCCCCTCGCTGCATGTGCAGTCGGTTGTTCGCTGCATCAATGCCCCAAGCCGCTCAGGCCGCTGCCAATACGAGTGCCGCCTGACAGCCTGCATATCCCCGCATCAGTTTTGCATAAGAATTCACAAACTATTTGAGGGGCTGAAAAGCCAGCGTGTTGCCTATAGAGGCCTCGTAGTCGCGAAGAATGCAGCCGGTCGCGATTGCAATGTGACGGCAGATGCTTCCGCATCATAGATCTTTTCGTCATCAGGTCCTCAAAGTTCAATCCAAATCAGTCTAGACCGCTCAGGCGCCCTGCCGCTTGCTCTTCGCGGCCGATCTAGATACCCGCACCACTTGCGGGCACCACAGAAACACGAGATGGCCCAATCGATGCGCACCGCAGCGACAGGCACCGAGTGCCGCGCATTCAGCAGCGGCAGGAGGGCTGCCGCCCCTCGGGCGGCCGCGCCCGCCCGCCGTGTGCAGCAGCAGCAGCAGCAGCAGTGCATGCGCGCCGCAGCGCCCGCGCCCATGGTGGCGGCCCGCAGGCCCACGCTTGTGCAGGCAGTGGCTTCCCAGCAGTCTTCGGCGCAGCAGCAGCAGGCCTCTGGCGAGAAGGTGATTTTTGGAGCAGAGTTGCCCGTGCGCATGTCATCATTCGGCGCCTGGGAACGCTCATTGCATTTTCGTGCCGCTTGGCATTCTGCCTCGGCCGCTGGGAACAGCACTTGGTGTGGCACATCCAACCATCCCCCGCCTTCATCACTGCTGCTGTTATCGACCTTGTGCGCCGCAGGTGTGGTGGGCGCTGGTGGCCAACGCCGAGTTCTACTGCGCCGAGGTGCAGAACGAGTCGGTGGCCGAGCAGCTGCGCGAGAAGGCGCGCTACTTCCGGGAGCAGGGCAAGGAGCAGGACTTCTTCCTGGTGCCCAACCCCAAGTGGCTGGACGCCAAGTACCCGGCGCAGGGCAAGCAGGTCCGCCGCCCCTGCCTGGCCCTGGTGTCGACCGACACCACCTGGATCACGTGAGTGGGAGCTGGACGCACGGGTGGCACATGGGGTTTTGGTGGGACCTTGCGGCAGGCAGGCAGATGCATCCCTGGTTGCTGATGCGTGCCGCAGCAATGGACTGCCTGCCAGGCCATGGAAAGGGTCCCGCATTCGCCACGGCGTCTGAGAGCCGTTGAATTGCGATGTGAACCGAAAGGCCGATTGCAGACTGAGTGCCTGCACACATGTCAGAACGCAATCATAACATTGGCCCATACCGGCAAGCCAGTCTGACGTCAATCTTCATGTTTTGAACCCATCGCAACCTCCGCCAGCTTCATGAAGCTGCGCCTGGACCGCGTGCTGAAGATCGAGCTGGTGGGGCTCACCACCGAGGAGGTGCTGGAGGCCGGCGAAGCGCTGCCCGAGTTCAAGCGGCCCGAGATCAAGACCTCCCCCTACCCCTGGTACAGCGCCGGCTGGTGGGAGAAGTTCTACCCCCCCAGCTCCCAGTAGAGCGGCGCGCCTCCCTTGCTCCTCCTGCCTCCCCACTAGCCTTTCCAGAGCGAATTTTTGAGTGAGCGGCTGCATGACCCGCACGCAGCCATTGTGACCGCTGCGAACGGACTGGCGTCATGTAATGCAGAGTGACTTGTTGCGAGGCTGTGTGCAGAAGGTCAGAGACATGTGTCGGATGTCCTCAACGGGCAGAATCGGTTTGTACGCGTCATGTGGTTGCTGGGATGGCACCAAGGAAGGCCGCATGGCGGAGGCAGGCTGATAGCATAGGTGGTACCTGGCGGACAATGGTAAAGTGGCTGCTGTGAGCTTTGCAAGAAAGGGGTTGGGGGCTGGAGCAAGTAGAGTAGCTGGCAGTACAGTACTGCGATGACAAATGTCAGTACGGCATGGATTGTGTCAGTCAACCATCTCAATGACGCTGGTTTAAGGCTGTTGAAGAACCTGACAGCTGTCATCACTGCTTGCTGCCCGCGTACGTGCTATTTGTATGGTGGGCAGCCTGCCGGAGAAAGCATCATTGTGGGCTGACCTCTGATGAGGCATGCGCAGATTTTGCATTGTAAACGTCCTGCTGTGTGCAAGAGGATTATCTGGTTTGCTTGGACTCGGACGTGCTGACGTGCCCTGCTGCAATGCCTCTTGAGGTGCCGTCAACCTGCGGTCAACTGTGGCCTGAGGCAGGTTTGGCAAGAAGCACACCAAGCGCGAGCCTGCTATGATCAGATCCTGCAATTGCAAAATATCAAGCCTACGTGAGATACCTTGATAAGCCCAATTTTTATGGCTTGACACACGGGGTGCCAGCGGGCAAAGATCTCAGCTGGTTGTTGCGCTGTCGCGCTGCATCGCGACACGCACCCTTTGCCACTTGGCCCGCTCTGGCCTGCCCAGCGCTCAGCAGATGTGAGAGACTTTCTTGGGACTATTTATGACGAGCTTTAGCCCTCATATACCCGCTTTATTGCCCATATGGCCACATTCCGTAAAGAATGCGGCCGGTCGCGACGTGCAGTGACGGCAGATGGCCACAAACGGCAGATCCTTGAGTCTCACATATTACTTGAACGAATCCCAACAGTTTGTGCCCGCATACGGTCCCTCCCGCTCGCCTTTTCCTGCCAATCTAGTCCCTTATTGCACTCGGAAACCGCAACAGAACATACATAATGGCCCTTTCAATGCGGTCTGCAGCGGCAGGAACCGGATACCGTGTATACAGCAGTGGCAAGAAGGCCGCCGCCCCTCGGCCGGCCACGCCCGCCCAGCATGCTCAGCGGGGGCAGCAGTTCGGGCGCGACAGTGCGCCCGCACCCGCAGTCGCAGCCCGCAGGCGCACGCTCGTGCAAGCCGTGGCCACCAAGGAGGCCGCCTCGCAGAAGCAGGCTGCAGGCACCAAGGTGACTGTCGCTGAACTTTGACTGGCGGCCCCTGCGCCTGCGCTCCCGCACAACCGATCACCCAGCAACCGGATGAACACCTGGGCCTTGCACCCCAAAACTCCTCCGATGCCGCGCTTTCCGCCACCCCAGGAGTGGGTGGCGCTGGTCGCCAACGCCGAGTTCTTCTGCAACGACGTCCAAAATGAGTCACTGGCCGAGCAGCTGCGCGAGAAGGCGCGCTACTTCCGGGAGCAGGGCAAGGAGCAGGACTTCTTCCTGGTGCCCAACCCCAAGTGGCTGGACGCCAAGTACCCGGCGCAGGGCAAGCAGGTCCGCCGCCCCTGCCTGGCCCTGGTGTCGACCGACACCACCTGGATCACGTGAGTGGGAGCTGGGCGGGCACTTCTGGCTGCCTTTGGGCAGATGAAGACTCTGGTCAGTCATTCCTAAGGACGAGTTGTTCGTCGTCAATTTGTGCTGGAGATGGCTGGTAGCTTGCTTGCTTGCTCGCTTGCTTTATAGGGAACGCGCTCCAGCAGCGACCGCGGCCTGAACTCCTTGCAGCTACAAAGCGGTGCATCCGGACACAACAGGGCGACAGGACAACAACTGCTGTCCACTGTGCCCCCGTGTGCCACCCCGCACTTGCACCCTCAGTCGTCTGGGCACCACGTGCTGGCAACACGTTCACGTCGTACCACTTCTTCCATTGACCCAGTGCTTGACCCAACCGACCCACTCTTACTTGTCCCTTCCCCCTCCTGCCTCCACCCCTCCTTCGGCCAGCTTCATGAAGCTGCGCCTGGACCGCGTGCTGAAGATCGAGCTGGTGGGGCTCACCACCGAGGAGGTGCTGGAGGCCGGCGAGGCGCTGCCCGAGTTCAAGCGGCCCGAGATCAAGACCTCCCCGTACCCCTGGTACAGCGCCGGCTGGTGGGAGAAGTTCTACCCCAACTAGCGCGGGAGGCTCAATCTCCCTTGGTCGCGACACTGTTACGGCCGCCTTGTCGCAACTGCGGCAAAACGGATGCATCTGCACACGCTTCACATGCCAGTGCGCGCCAGGACGCCACACACTGACTAATCAGTGTCTTGGCGCGGAGCCGACCCTGTGGCATGCATGCAACAAATCCCTCCTTCAACCTGTTCGCTTGTCGCCCCTTGATACAATCGTTTACTTTAACCCTTTTCAAGTTTCACAGCTGAGAGCTGAGTTGTTTTACCATGTTGTTAAGCATTTAGTACGGACACTCGTTTGAAGCAGCCGCAGAGTGAAGATGTCCCTCCGACTTTTGTTGGTGCCCTGCCGGGGGCAATACAGCTCCCTAAAGCTTTCATGTGGTTTGTAAGCCATCCTGAACTACTCAGCTGTTTGTGGGCTCGGCGATAAGGTGCAGGGGCAAACCGTGTTAAGATCAACAGGAGGGTGGTGCAGGCACGTGTGACGGCGCTTCGTTTTGCCACTGACAAGCAGCCTCAGGACCTGCCCGTGGCAGGCGTGTGTGTGGGCGTAAACTTGTGTGGATATGCTGGATTCAAGTCTTTGGACTTAGTTGGGGTTTCCCAGCCTCCAAATCAAGGCCTTGCTCCGACAGCAAGAGAACAGCGGCGATTGTGGTGGCCGGCAGAGGGTAAGAGTCGGACAAGCCTGATGACACACCAGCGGGCAATCCAACAATCACATGCACGGTGTGCATGCATGTCAACGCATGCGGGTGCGTGCATGCATGCAAACATCAGGGGCCGTGCCTTGCATGGCCCACCCTGTCAGGCGCTGCTGGTCAGCGCTGGCGGGGTGGCATCATGCACATGTGAAGCGTCTTGTGCAACTGTTGGGGTGCCCGTCATACCGGTACCACTCGCTTGTCATCAAACTTTAATCGTGGTGCAGATGATGCATTCGTATATCATCTTCTTCTGAGTGAATCCTGCTCCCGAGCTAGCCGGGCGATCGGTTGATCGGTGCACACCTTTCATCAACAGCTTGTCAGCGGGCGTGATACGCAGAGGCACACGCGAAGCACATATTTTGACACGATGGCAGCGCAGCCAGCCAACGGCCAGCATGAGGCACAGGCGTCCGCAGCGGCGCCGACATCGGGTGCCCACGCAGGCTCCTACGAATTCGCCACAGAGGCGATCCATGGCGGCCAGCGCGTGTGCCCAGTGACCGGCGCCGTCTTCCCACCGCTATACACGTCCTCCACGTGAGCGCGCCTGCGGCTCGTGCGGCGCCCGACCTTTACAGCGCTCTATCCCAGCAATGCGCTTGCTTGCACACACGGTCAGCAGTCACAATATCAGCGACCAGGCCCCGGAGCCCTCTGCCCAAGCAGTGGCCGGCCTGCCACTCGGCACGCTGCCTTCCGGCGCGACGCCGCCCGACACGGCGCGCCATCCTCGTCAGAACCCGCGTGGACACCCCTCCACCCGCCGCCCTCTCCCAGGTTTGCGCAGCAGAGCCCGGGCGTCCACCAAGGCTACGAGTACTCCCGCTCCCACAACCCCACGCGCTTCGCGTTTGAGCGTTCATACGCCGTGCTCGAGGGCACAGGGCTCACAGAGGAGCAGGATACCACCCGCGGCGCCTTTGCCTTCGCGAGCGGCCTGGCGGCGGGCGCGTGCGTGCTGGAGCTACTTGACGCCGGCTCCACTGTTGTCTGCATCGACGACGTGTGAGTGCCATGGCATGCTGCTGCTGCTGCTGCTGCTGCTGCTGCTGCTGCTGCTGCTGCTGCTGCTGCTGCTGCTGCTGCTGCTGCTGTTGTGGACGGTTGAAAACAGCAGTATCGTGTCCTGTATGGACAAATGCTTACCTTAGATTGCAATGACTGCCTGGCATGCTGCGACCAATCTTCCCACCTTACAGCAGAATTGGCTGCAGCCCCCTCCCCGTCCCCTTGCACCAAACATCACCCCGCTCCCTCTCACACGCACCGCACCCCCTCCCCGCATCGCCAATTACCCCGGCCCCCAGCTATGGCGGGACCTTCCGCCTGCTCAACCGCGTCCGCGCGCGCACCGCGAGCCTGAAGATTGTCCGTGCTGACCTGGCGGATGATGTGGCGGCGGAGGCGGCGATCGTTGGCGCCGCTAGCAACGGCAGCGGTGCAGCGGACAGCAACGGCGGTGCCGGGGTTGGGTCCAAGGTGGGGTTGGTGTGGTTGGAGACACCCACAAACCCGACGCTCAAGCTGGCGGACATTGCAAAGGTGGGGATGCGGTAGCGCAGCGCGAAGTGAGCAGCGTTTTGCCGCCGCACGTGCGTTGGACGGCGCACTCCATCCGGCAGAAGTGTTTGAAGCGGGTGGCAACGTGGATTCCAAGGCTTGACGTGCACTTAACTGTTGGGCCGCGCATGCAGGCCGACTCTTTGCTGCCCGTCTTGGATTGCGGATTATCTCGAATACAATCCAGCTGAAACGGTCCTTATCACAAGCAGCGGCATCCCGCGCCGCACGCCGCTGCAGGTTGCTGAGCTGGCGCACAAGGCGGGGGCGCTGCTAGTGGTTGACAACACGTTCGCCACGCCGGCGCTGACGAGGTGCGGCGGTTGTGGCGCCGCCCCCGACCGCTTCGCGGCGCTGATTGCAGCGGCGGTTCCCCCGCGCGCTCGCGGCTGCGAGCAGCAACGCTTGGTTGATCGGCTGCGGGGTCGACGGCTGCCATGCGTTTGCAGGCAGGCAGGGGGCGTGGGCCGAAATTGCAGGCCAGCGGCGGCTTGGCAGCTGCAGGGGTGCATGCACAACCTTTTTGAGGCCTGTGCGTGGTCAAAGTAGGTAAATCCACATGAGACCCAAACGGCCCTGCATCCCATGCGTGCGTTGCTTCCGGTGCCTGTACCTACTTCCTTAGGCCCCTGCAGCTGGGTGCTGACATCGTCCTGAGCTCAACCACCAAGTACGTGGCCGGCCACTCGGACACGGTGGGTCTGGGGTTACATGCACATGGTGATCTATGGGGCGGTGTCCTGCGAATGCTTAATGGCCTAGCTGCAGGCTTGGACAGGCGGGGCGCCGCAGCTCTGGAGGGGTAGCCCATCGTTTGGGCACTGTTTTTGGACCCCCGCAACAAAGGGCTGCGGCCAGCGCCGCACCTGCGGCGGCCGCACGCGCGTCGGCCTGCGGCGAGCCCTGGGGGCCGCGTCCAGGGGAACCGCCTGTGGCGCCTGGCGTGTGCCACCGCCCGCAGTTGGGACCGCGGACACCCACCCCTGCCATGTCGCCTGACGCCTCGCAACACACGGCCTTGCCCACTGTGGCACGCGCCCCCATCCTGCCCCATCCTCTCCTGCAACCCCAAAGTCCTAAACCCCGGGTTCACCCCCGCCCCCACGTGCTAGACACACGTGACCGCAAGCCGCCCCCACGTGCACGCCCACCGCCCCCATCTCGGCCCCCAGGTCGGGGGCGTCTTGGCCACGCGCCACGCTGACGTGGCGGAGCGCCTCCGCTTCCTCCAAAACGCGGTCGGCTCCGTCATGAGCCCCTGGGACGCCTACCTCACCCTTCGCGGCGCCAAGACGCTGCACGTGCGCATTCAGCGCCACTGCGAGAACGCCCTCGAGCTCGCGCGGCGCCTCGAGGGCGCGGCCGCCGTCGCGAGGGTCGTGTACCCCGGGCTCGAGTCGCACCCGCAGCACGCACTCGCCGCGCGGCAGATGCGCCTGCCGGACGCGGGGCCCGGCCGACGCGGCGCCGACGCGGCCGCGTTTGGCGGCATGATTTCGCTGACCCTAAAGGGCGGACTGGCCGAGAGCCGCGCGTTCCTGGAGGCTCTGCGGGTGTTTACGTTGGCCGAGAGCCTGGGGGGCGTCGAGTCGCTGGCCGAGCACCCCGCGCTGATGACTCACGGGTCGGTGCCGGCAGACGAGCGGGCGAAGCTGGGGATCGACGACGGATTCGTGCGGCTGTCGGTCGGGATCGAGCACGTGGAAGATCTGTGGGCAGACCTAGAGGGGGCGCTCGCTGCGGCTGCGGCGGCTGGGAAGCGCGCGGGGGCAGCGGCGGCGGCGGCGCGGGAGGAGAGCTGAGGCGCGGCGTGGGGGCACCGGCGCTGCTGCGGGCGGCTGCTGCCACGCGGCGCATGGGCTGGCTGGACTGTTTGGGTCCTGGGAAGCATGCTGCTGACGCCCTGCACGCAATATTGTACTCTTTTCAAACGCGCTGTAACATCATGCAACTGCCTTGAATGTAGGCAGGATCCCCTGGGCCGGTTTTGATGCTAGCGCACGCCCGAATCAAGGTCGATCACGGACTCGAGCGGGTTGGGCACCCACTTTCAGCGGTTGGGCGGCGGGATGTGTGCCACCGCTCTGGAGCAACAGGCCCCATGCGCGCGTGCGCACACACACGCAAATAGGATTATTATAAGTACACGTAGCTCTCCATTTGCACGTTGGGCCTTGATCGAGAGACTCCTGGTCTGGGGCTGACTCCTCTCGTGAAGAGTGCCAAGTCAGCGCGTCGTCAGCTTGCGGCCACCTACCGATCATATACATTATTTGCGAACCTTGTGCACTTGATTTGCAGCATTTTTCACCGGGCACCCTGAGTCGATCCTCTTCAAACCTCCCCGCGGTTCATCCCACTCAGCCTGCGCGCCCTTGTCCAGCGAGGCAGGCGCCTCGAAGTAGCTTTAACTTAAACGATGGCTCCAGGCGCACAGGTGCTCGTCGCCGCCCCGCCGCATGGCGCCCCTGCCAACGGTAGCGGCATCCCCGGCCTTGCCCCGCCGCTGCCGGTCCTCGCGCCGCTGCCCGCGCCCGCTGCCGGACCCGGCCCGGCCGCGGCGTCACGCGGCTTCGGCGGCGCTGCTGCGGCGTCGGCGCCACCGGCGGTCGACAGCGTACTGGATCTAATTGGCGCGACGCCCATGCTGCGTGTGTCGCGATTTGACACTGGCCCATGCGAGCTGTTCCTCAAGCTTGAGAATGTCAACCCCGGCGGTGAGCGCCTTTTGCCAAGCCGCAACCTAGGAAACAGGCTGAGCATCCAAGGCACCCCGGCGCGGGTCCGAGGGCGCTTGCCGGCGCACGCACGCGGGCGTGATATGAGGGCAGCCGCCCCGCGCGCATGCATGTGCTCATGGCGGCGGCGCCCGGCCAAGCGCGCGAGTGGGGGCACGGCGCACCGCGCAGCCCCGGCCGTGCGTGGCGATAGATGCGAACGGGCCCCCGCGGTTGCAGGGGTGGGGCCGGAACGCTGGCGCGCGCGGCGCACCCGCACCAACACGGCGAGTCACCATCCTTCCACCGCCGCCACCGCACCTTCTCAACCGTCCCGCCCTCGCTTGCCTCCCCGCCCCTCTTTTTTTCAAACATACCAGGCAGCATCAAGGATAGGATAGCCCTCTCCATGATCGCCGCCGCCGAGGCAGATGGCCGCCTGCGCCCGGGTGAGCAGCCCGAAACCCCAAACCCCACCCGTCCCACCCCTACCTTACAACCTCCACCC